CTGCAGATGCATGCAGAATGCTAATAGATTTTAGCTTTATTGGAAGTGGATCCCACAGGTTTGCAAGAAACAGCAGAATAGCCATCTACCCCTCCCTGCCAGCATATTCAACTTCATATGGAGTGGGGGAACTTTTAATTTGTTAGAAAGCCTGCTCTTACCTTCCTGCCCCTTTCCCGTCCAGACCTCTATAGTATCATGGTATAATACTCAGGAGTAAAGGATCAATATCAAAAGGTAAACTGAGTTCTGTGCAATGTGAAATGTTTTGCTAGACAGGCTGTATCTACAATGAATTTCAGACGTTCCCTTATGTGGGGGGGGGGGGGGTAAAATGATGGAGTCACTTGTGGAACGTAGAGAAAGAGGTGCCATTAGACTAGTTTCACTGGAACCAGAAGCAACATTATTGCTGTTTTAGTGTTTGGTCAATTATATAATTTTCTTTATCTTTCCTTTTTTACTCTGGCTGTCTTACCTTGTAGGACAAGCACTAACCACTTATTGGGAGGGTAGGCTAAGAAAAAAAATGCCCTTTGACCAATACTAGTACTATGAAGTAAATACCTACCTTTTAAAGTGGGAGTAAGTGGAATATATAGTTATATAATCTTCTTATGAAGAAAGATCCACATATAACCCCCTGTGAAAACCCCCCAAATGCAAGCCAACCTTATGTGAATTGAAGAATCCACACATACTTTGTGACCCATTGTCATAGGAAGAATTCATGATTCTAAAGTGAATTTATAGAAATAAAAGACTTAGAAGTAGGTATCTCAAAACAGTAATGTTTCAAGAAACAGTGGTTAATGCCTCTGTTTACTCTCAGAATCAGCATTTAACTTTTTGACAGTCCTGCCTTACTTCCTTCCAGAAGATAGGAAGATAAAAAGATTAAATAACTATTCGTAAAGGGAGTCTTCCCTCAAAGCTCCCCCCCCCCACCTTGGAGGGTGCCGGTATTGATTAGAATTAAGCCCTAAATTTGAACAACTGTGTATTAGGTCCTTAAAATGAATATCATTATAGAAGAAGACCAAAGCAATGAAGTTAATTCTCTTTTATTTGTTAAACGGAGTTCCCTCCTTCCCCCACCCCTTCCTCCTTCTGGGCTGGCCTGTCACGCCTTCTCAACACGCTAAAATCATTCAGAGTGGCTTGCAGGGAGAAACACGACATTTATGGTAAGCGTCAGCCTTCAGAGAAAGAAAGCAGTTCATTAATTTACTTCACACTTACTTCAAAGTCGGAGAGTGTACCTTACCCCCTTAATCAATAGATATGATGTACAGTCAATATCCCAACAATGTTGAAAAGGGGTCAGAAACACACACTCTTACACCACAACATCAGCCTCAACTCTGCTCAATGAAACTTACACAAATTACTACCTGACTTTGGATTTCGGTAAACCCAGGAGGGCTTTTTTTCTTTCTTTTCTTTTCTTTCCATTTTTTTTTTACATCTCTAGAAGCTCTGAGAGTGTTAAAAAATGTTTATCCAGTAAAAACCAAACAATTCTCCCAGCTAGTAACATTTTAATCAATTCTGCTTTAAAATTCGATTTCTGAGAGCATCTATAACTGCTTAGAAATATGAATTACTTAAACAAAAAACAAATGAATATTCAATAGGGCGCCAAGGGCTGTGGACTTTTTGCTACACTGGTGTGGTGCTTTCTGTGGTTTAAGATGTTTCCTTGTGGTGGCAGTGAAATTGTAATGACATTTCTGAAGGCAACTAGTAACACAAATGGAAGCAAGTGACTAAAACCCACTGAATTTGAACTGAGTGCATCTATTAACATGCACACGCATTCACAGATATCTGGCCCAAACACTATCAGACACAGACGCCTTCATATATGTGGTCCAAGATTTGTCAAAACCTTGTCTCCATTCTCAGATAAATAAAACCCACACATATCAATCAAAATCCTAATTTTTTTCCCTCAGAAAGAGGCAGTGGTGATTTCCTGTGAAGACTCCTAAATTCCACAAAACGCTCCTCAATTTCTCACCCCAAGGAAAAACAATGCTCTCTCGCCCCTCTCTCTACCTAATCCTTTTGTATTGAAATTTACTCATCGCCACGGGACAAACACACCCCGTCCCCTAGAGTGAGACTGGCACTTCCAAAGATGAACCCACCTCGGGAGGGAAAAAAGGACAAGAAAACCACCGCATCAAAGTAACAACTCCTGGACGCAGGCGCTCACACGCCCTCACTCACCCCTAAAAACATCCCCCAGCTCCCCACCTTCCACCCTTCCGCTACGGAGTCGGGAAAGGAAAGGTAGGAATCAGTGCGATTTTCTTCAATAGATGCAGTGACGGTGTCTAAGAAGTTAAGAAAACGATCACTCGAGATGTTAGGTACAAGGAACCAGAGGAAGTTGGCGACAGGGATGGCGCTGGTGCGTATTTGTGGACCCAGCCTCCCTCGCTCAACTTCGAAGATGCCTTCTTCAAATCGTCCATCTCTACTCTCTCTTGCGTATGAGCACTTTCCTGCACCGTTCCTGTTCTCCACCCCCGGCTTTTCTCACACACACACACACACACACACACACGCTCAAACAGCCTTCCTCTCCCCCCACACCCAGCGCGCACACGCATCCACCCTCCCTCCTCCCTCAAACACACAGCTTCACACTCCTCCCTCTCCCCCACCCCCACTCACGGACACCCACCTCCCCCTCCCTCCCTGGGTTGTCACTC